AAAAAACAGATGTGTTTTACAATTGATTTGAATTGTGATTAAAATTAATTGAATCAATGGTTGGCTTTGTTTTGACCCGTTTTGTGGATCTGTCGGCGATCGAGACCTTGGCTTTGGAGGACATAATAAAGTGTGGTATTTGTCTGCAAGTGTTGAAGAGAGCGGTCGACACTCGATGTGGACATACCTTCTGTCACGAGTGTCTCAATCAATGGCTCTCAAGACCGCAGACCACCAAAGAGTGTCCCGAATGTCGACAACCGTTGGCCTCAAGAAAGCGAACCCGAAGTCAGAGCACAGAAGACAATAGTTTGGTTATCGGAGGCAATGTTTTTGTGGACAAAAATCTTCGCATAAATGCAATGATAGAGAAATTGAAGATCAGATGTGATTACGAGTGGAACGGATGTCCAGAAGTGTGTCCATTGGAGTCGTTGTTCACTCATCTCAAGACATGTCAACACAGATTGTGTTTAACATGTGGTCTATCTGTGGGTCTCGTAAGGGATGACCACAACTGTATTGAAGGCCTGAAGAGAGACCGAAATGAATGGACACAAAGAGCCAAAGAATTTGAAATAAGATTAAAGGAATCGAATGAAAAGACATTGAATTTGGAGAAGAAATATAATTCACAACACAATGAATGGCAAATGAAATGCAATGAATGGATAGAAATTACGAAACAATTTGAGACAAAAACTAAAGAAATGGACCAAAAAGTGAAAGAATTGGAGACAAAACTTAAGAAATCTGAAGAAAATTCACGAAATTTTGAGATATTATACAAACAAACGGATTGTTTGCGCCAAAAATGGGTTCAGAAATACCAGGATTTGGAGATATCAGTGAAGACATCAGCAGTTGTAGCAAAACAAGTGATTCCTTTGGCAGTGATTCCCAAATGTTTACTGTTTGGTAGATATGAGACAAATGTCGGATCCATTGAATTCAAGAAATACGGTATTGTTTTCAATATTGTGTCGAGTGTTGGAAGAGTATGTTTGCCGTATAATGAGATCCAATGTCTGATGGCATGTGTCGACCCCTCACTACCAATGCTTTGTATTAAACCAAACAAAGGCCGGGCTTTTCTTGTGGACAGAACTTATTGTTCAGTAACTGAATTCATCAATAAATGCAACTTTAATGTCCACTCAAAAGGTTTGCTATTATTATTGTACAAAAACTATCGACAAATTCATTAATTGCATAAATATTGTATTGACTTTTTATATCAGATCTGAGCCAACAGTTTATTATCATTGAATTGAGAGATGTATTGAGTGAAACATTTGTTTCGCAATTGTGTGCGAAATGTAACGATAATGTGAAGTCTGAACACAGTTTGATAGCCTCACCGGCCGGACAACTAAAGGCCACTAATAATAAGTGCGAATACAAGACAATTGATTTAAATGCCGCACAACTGATGCTAAAGCGATTAAATTGAATGTCATTCGTGTTAATTACTTTATTATTGTTGATTATAACACTTTATTCTACGGCTATTACTGTATATGTGCACAAATACGACACAACTTACTCATGTTCATTTATTCTAATATAATTTTTTAAATTGTGTTACTTGTTATATATAAAACATTTATTACTGTATTTTGTTGTTGTTAATTTCTTGATTATAATAAAGTAATTCCCAGAGTATTAATAATTTATAATAAGTTATAAGTTTAGTTATAATTTACGTTAGAATTAAGTTATCATTTTAATTGGTATTTAAAATACTAATGAACAGAATTCAATAAATATTAATACACATTAAGTTTATTATATGATGATTAAGATATGAATTGAAACCATGTTCATTTAACAATTGAACAATAAATGTGTAGTTTTAGTATTAAAATTACATTAATTATTATTTAAATATTCAGTTGAATAAAAATCAGTAAATTATTAAATTGTAATAAAACTTGGTTTCAATTTCAATTAACTCCAAACTTTAGTTATGAACGTAATTATTGAACATTTGAACCATTGAAAAATTTTCAATGAAAATCCATTAAAAATCCGGATTCAAAACTTATGAGTTGTCAGACAACAAGTGTTTCAAAAACTCATTGGTTTCGCAATTGCTTTGTATTTGTGTTGAAATTGTGATTCAACTCAAGCGAAGCGATGGTTGGCTTTGTTTTGACCCGTTTTGTGGATCTGTCGGCGATCGAGACCTTGGCTTTGGAGGACTTAATAAAGTGTAGTATTTGTCTGCAAGTGTTGAACACAGCGGTGGACACTCGATGTGGACATACCTTTTGTCGCGAGTGTCTCAATGAATGGCTCTCAAGACCGCAGACCAGCAAAGAGTGTCCCGAATGTCGACAACTGTTGCCCACAAGAAAGAGGACCCGAAGTCAGATCACAGCTGACAATACTTTGGTAATCGGAGGCAATGTTTTGGTGGAGAAAAGCCTTCGCATAAATGCAATGATAGAGAAATTGAAGATCAGATGTGATTACGAGTGGAACGGATGTCCAGAAGTGTGTCCATTGGAGTCGTTGTCCACTCATCTCAAGACATGTGAATACAGATTGTGTTTAGCATGTGGTCTATCTATTGGACCCATTATTGATGACCACAACTGTATTGAAGGCTTGAAGACAGACAGAAATGAATGGCAAACGAAATGCAATGAATGGATAGAAAAGGACAAAGAATTTGAGGCAAAGAATAAAGAAATGGCGACAAAAGTGAGAGATTTAGTGACAAAACTCAAGAGATCTGAAGAAAAGTCATTGAATTTTGAGTCGAAATACAAAGAAACGGATGGTTTGCACAAAAAATTGGTTCAGAAATACAGCGATTTGGAGGAAAGAGTGAAAACACAAGACATGAAAGTAAAACTAACGATTCCTTTGGCTGTAATTCCCAAATGTCTACTGTTTGGCAAATTTGAGACAAATGTCGGGTCCATTGAATTCAATAAATACGGTATTGTTTTCAATAATATTGTGTCAATACATTTGAAAGTCCCAAGTATTGTGAGATTGTGTTTAAAGTATAATGAGATCCAATGTCTGATGGCATGTGTCGACCCCTCACTGCCAATGCTTTGTATGAAACTAATGAAAGACCGGGCCTTTGAAGTGGACGCAAAGGATTGTTCAATAACTGAATTAATCGATAAATGCTATTTTGATTGCAATGCAGAAGGTTTGCTATTTTGATAATTTTGTTCAAAACTATTGTTTATGAAATGCATTATCTCTTGACATCAGATTCGAGCGAAAGGTTTATTATCATTGAATTGAGAGACGCATTGAATGAGACATTTGTGGCCCAATTGTGTGAGAAATGTAAAGATAGGGTTAAATGCGAGACAATTAACACACAGACCGTTGATTCAGTGCCAGCGCTCACTAATAATACATTTGTATACAACGAAATTGACTCAATAGACGCGCAACTAATGCTAATGAGAGCCATGAATGCCATCAATTGATTCGTCGGTATTTAACGCGAAGACATTTTTGATAGATATGTTGAACCATTTTTTTTTGGAAATATGACTTTTAATCATTTACACATTTTGTTAAACATTTATAATATAATGCAAAAATTTTTAATATAAGTTATATTACTAAATAAATATCAAATAAAATTGTTAATTCATTAAAGTTTATTAAATTGTGCAATAATTTGAATTAAATGTTAACAACATGTGTTTTATTGCATAATATTATTTATACACACCTTTAGTTGGTGTATATATTGTTCAATAAATTCATTAATAAATGAATATCATATTTAAAATACACTTTTGTAACATTGACTTTCAATTTCAACCAGAATCTATTTATCATAATTGCCACCTATAATAGCTGTCCTAATGTTAGCCTATGATAGTTTGCATTCATAGACCTCGTAATAGGAGCCCAACCATGTTCATTTAATATTAAATATGTAGTTTTATTGTTTAAAGTACTTTAATTCAAGCATTTAAATATGAATTCACATTAAAATAACTAAATTATTAAATAGTTTAAAATTAATGCAATGAAACTTTATTTAGTCTCAAACTAGACGTTATTTATGGCCGTAATTATTGAACGATTGAATCATTGAAAATACGGATCAAAACAAAGAGTCGTCAGAAAAAGTGATTCAAACAATAAAAACAATTATTGTTTTGATTTCAAACAAAAGTTTTGTTACAAAACACTTGTGTTTTACAATTGGTTTGTATTTGTGTTTAATTTGTCATTAAATCAATGCCTGGCTTTGATTGCAATCGTTTTGTGGATCTGTTGGCCATCGAGTCGTTGTCTGTTTTGGCCGACAGTTTAAAGTGCGGTATTTGTCTGCAAGTGTTGGACAAAGCGGTGGACACTCGATGTGGACATACCTTTTGTCGCGAGTGTCTCAATGAATGGCTCTCAAGACCGCAGACCACCAAAGAGTGTCCCGAATGTCGACAACCGCTGGCCTCAAGAAAGCGGTCCCGAAGTGAGACCAATGATAACAATGCGGTTATAATCGGAGGCAATGTTGTGGTCGACAGAAGTTTTCGCATAAATGCAATGATCGGTAAATTGAAGATCAGATGTGATTACGAGTGGAACGGATGTCCAGAAGTGTGTCCATTGGAGTCGTTGTCCACTCATCTCAAGACATGTCAACACAAATGGTGTCTGACATGTGGTCTATCCGTGGATGCGATAAGCGATGACCACAACTGTATTGAAGGCCTGAAGAGAGACCGAAATGAATGGATTGGAAGGACTAAAGAAATGATGACAAATACTATGGAATTGTTGACAGAAAGGAAAGAATCGGCAGAAAAGGCCGTGAATTTGGAGTCGAAATACAATTCAGTTCGCAATGAATTGCAAACTCAACGCAACAAATGCCATACAATGACAACAAGTAATGGGTTTTTAGCGCAAAGAAATCATCAAATGATA